GCACCATGGCACTCATCAGTAACAAAAAACGGTGCCGAACTATAGCCTTAGTTGAACGATCCTAGGCCATGTTAAAGTTTGGCTCTTCTCTGGTACGCCAGAAGAGCGCCAAAACTGGTGCCATACTTGAGCCTTAACTGCCATAGTAAGTCCTAATTTGGGAATTCGGGGCGTGCCAAGGTTTGGCGTTTCTCTGGTACGCCACAGGAGTGCCGAAGTAGTGCCATACTTAAGCCATAACTGCCAGAGCAACGCCTAATTTGGGTATTTTGGACATGCCAAAGTTTGGCTTTTCTCTGGTCCGCCACAGAAGTGCCCAAGTAGTGCCATACTTGAGCCATAACTGCCAGAGCAACGCCTAATTTGGGTATTTCGGACATGCCAAAGTTTGACATTTCTGTGGTCCGCCACAGGAGTGCTGAAGTGGTGCCATACTTGAGCCATGATTGCCAGAGCAACGCCTAATTTGGGTATTTCGGACATGCCAAAGTTTGGCGTTGCTCTGGTCCGCCAGAGGAGCGCCAAAGTTGGTGCCATACTTCAGCCATAACTGCCATATTAAATCCGAATTTGGGAATTCGGCCTAGGTACCACTGCAGAGAGATGCCCCACTTGAGCAAAGGTTCGGCAAACGTAAGGGCCCAACTTTGGCCCAGTTAGGTTTTGCACCATGGCGTTCATCAGTGCCAAAGTACGTTGCCTAACTATAGCCCAAGTTGAGCGATACTAGGGCATGCCAAAGTTTGGCTTTTCTCTTGTCCGCGAAAGGAGTGTTGAAGTAGTGCCATACTTGAGCCATAACTGCCATAGCAACGCCTAATTTGGGTATTTCGGAAATGCCAAAGTTTGACTTTTCTCTGGCCCGCCACAGGAGTGCCGAAGTAGTGCCATACTTCAGCCATAACTGCCAGAGCATCGCCTAATTTGGGTATTTCGGACATGCAAAAGATATGCTTTTCTCTGGCCCGCCACAGGAGTGCCGAAGTAAGTGCCATACTGGAGCCATAACTGCCAAAGCAACGCCTAATTTGGGTATTTCGGACATGCCAAAGTTTGGCTTTTCTCTGGTTCGCCACAGTTGTGCCACAAGTAAGTGCCAGACTTCAGCCGTAACTGCCGAAGTAAATCCTAATTTGAGAGTTCGGGGCATGCCGAAGTTTGGCTCTTTTCTGGCTATAGCCACTGGAGTGCCAAAGAAAGCTCAGATGCTTGTCGAAGTTTTGAATGTCTCTGCTGTGCAACAGAAGTGCTCTTTCACGCGCTCCAAAAAAAAAATTTAATTAAATAAGCGTTGGAAACACGATGGTCAGATCTCACCATCTGGGTTTTCACGCAGCACGGCGATACTTAGCAGTGTAGTGCAAGTACCGGCTGAAAGTCGGTTCTAATATCGCTCAAATGTCTAGTTTGGCACCATCGTTCAATATCAGGCAGGTATTGTCGTACAGTCGTTTTGCCCCGGCCTAGTGTTCGCGCAATATCGTGCGAATATTTTACGATGCGTCAGCTCCGTATTGGCCGCACGTCGTGCAAGTCTGTGTTGTGTAGGACGTTGCATATCATTTGTCGCATATCAATAACATACACGGACGAACGAATTTTTTTTCGAACGCTCCCAGAAGCTTATTAAATCACTATCATTCCACACAACGTATTCTGACATTTTTACAAAAGTCATACTTCTCCGTAAAATAAAAGCAAATGATAAAATATAATTAACAATAATATCATGCCATGCAAAACTCATAAATTAAAACACAAAAAAACCGCGAATATTGAGAAGAAAGCAGAACTGCTATTAGAAGCATACTTGCAGTGTACTTACTAATAAAAGCGATACCATGTATTCCTTGATAGATGCATAATCCCACTCGGGCAGCCCGAAAACACAGTAGAGACAGAAGGTTGCGCATATTCAACTGACGTTTTGTCGTCGGCGAGGAGCAGTTTTTGTCGAAGCGCGTGCAACAAACACAACACAAGAATTCCACGAACGTACTCCGACCGTTTACAGCCAAAAATCACGGCCGCGTCTGCAACGCACGGAAACAACACAACACTGAAGAGCCCATTTCAGAAACCGGACCTACGTGTCCCACCTATTTCTATAACTTGTACTATACTTGAGCGTGTTGGTGCTTTTTGAACATTTAGAAAGTGGAGACACATAAGGGACGATACAGAACGGACAACCTTTCAACTTCAACAACATTTATTTTCCGCTTCAAGCTCAAAGCCCGCCCGCTCCGTGGGAGTACGGGAAAGGGAAATCTCGGGGGAAGTAGAGGAAGCGGAGGAAGTGAGGAGGTGGCCAAACGAGGAAGGGAGAGGAGGGAATGGGGCTCGACTGGGTGTGCGGGATAACGGAATGAAAGGAAAGACCGCTTCTGCCGGTGACTTTGTCGCCTGGCCTTGTCTGTCAGCGTACAGCTTCCCTATGTGCCAGAGTTAGGCTTACTGCCCTGTAGTTCGGCTGACATCTGGCATCTTTGGGCCCGAGTCAACAAAGAAGTGCCAAAGTTAGGCTTCGCTTCCCGATAGTTCGGCTGTCATCTGGCAGCTACGGGGCCAATGTCGCCAAACAAGTGCCTAGAACTAGGCATACTGCCTTGCAGCTCGGCTGATTGGGCATTGGATGTACGCGGGTGGTTTGCAACTTAAGAAATTAAGTTTTATTCTGCTCGCACTTTTTGATTTTATTTTGGGTGTTTCTTAAATGTAGGCTGAATGTTTTGCCGCGGCTGAACCAGGCTCTGCAAATGCAGATTTCGCCGGATTGTTATTGCGTTCGCGCGTAGGTACACTCGCGAATATCGGGACGCTCAGTGAGAATAGTTCGACGTTGCAGAAACTGGTGCCGTCGAGCAAGTGCTGCGCGAGACTGATGTGCGCACGTCTCGTCAACAGAGATTATTATTAGGCGGCGCATTGCAAGAGCGAGTGTAGCTCTGTGCGTGTCTTGCATTGCGATTGAGCACTGTCAAATCCTAGCGATAGCAATAAACGAGAGCGGCAGTAGCTCTGTGGTATTGCGCCCGCTTCACACTCGGGGGAACTAAAATAGAATCCTGGCGTGGATGATTTTTTTTTTAAGTTAATTTGAAGCATTTTACAGCATCAACCCAGACACTCCTTTCCCTCACAATATTTCACTCCTCTCTTCCCCCCCCCCTCCCCCCGCCTCCCCCCCCTAACCAAAGGTGGCATTCCAAGCCGCAGGCGGGAGGCATGGAATGTCTTCTCTTTCAGTGAAACATGCAGAGGGAGCTTAGCTACATATTTCGTGCCCCTTCGACCTCGCCTTTTGCTAGGCCTCCCCACCTGCTCTTGAGTCTTCGTAAGCACCCCTTTCATTTCGCTCTCAAGAAAGGGGATTATCTTTCTGAGGCCCAGATCTGTGGCGATTTTGGCCCGAGGGTGCTAGATGAGAGTCGAACTACCAAAAGTTAAGCCTAACCTTGGCATTTGTTTGGCAATTTTGGCCCGAAAATGCCAAATATCAGCCGAAGTACCAGGCAGTAAGTCTAACTCTGGCATTCGTTAGACATTTACGCCCAGAAATGCCAGATGATAGCCGAGCTTCGAGGCAGTGAAACCTAAGTTTGGCACTTGTTCGGCGAATTAGGGCCAAAATACCCAGACTCTTGCCAAGGAAGCTCAGGTTTGGCTCTACCTTGGCTTCTTCGGGCTTTTCAAGGCCCTAAACTCCCTCACAAACGCCAAATTTTAGCCCAAAACTCTGTGCTACCTGGGATACGTCTAGGAGATGTTGTACCGAAACCTCTTTAGATTTTCAGTACTTCTTTCAGCAATATAATCGCTGATCGCACGCACTGGTCAATTAATCTGCCATGTTTAGAAATACATGTTGTAATAAATAGTCGATATATTTTAGCTACAGTGATTTAACTGCAATTAATTAATCTGATTTCTATCAAATAAATATTATTCAAATCAAATAAACCAGATTTATTTAATTTTTAATAAGAATCATGATTTTTTTTTTTCATCCTGACTAGCCCATAGAGTTGAAATATCCTGCGTTGTATTCTTTCATGAAATCTACTTTTCATCATCAGAGTGTCGCAGCCTTCTTCTAAATGACCCAACTTACGTTTCCAAGCACCCTGAAAATGGACCTTTTCCGAGAGGCGTTCTGCGCACGCGCGAGCGCCCGACGCCAAGCGGCGGAAGTCGGCACCAAAAATCGAGAAAATTGGGAAGGAGGCTGTGGATCAGCGAGTAGAACACGTAATTGCAGCATAAATGTAATTGTGTTATTCAAAAAAAGAAAATGGACGGAAAGAAAAACACGACGTTTCGGTGGACGACACGGATGCCCCTCTTTAAAGTCCTGTTGGGCACGCGCCGCAGCTCAGACAGCGAAGAAACTAATAGCGCAGCTCCCATTATCGATTGGTAGCACAGGTAAGTCATTTCCTCGATTTTTAGTTCGTGCAGCCACCGCCTGGTGCCGTCGGTATGTAGAAAAAGGCTATTTTTAAGTTCAGCTTCCCATCTCCAGAACCAATAAATTTCGAAACTCCCCGTATTTAGCTTGCCATCGCCGACCGGAATGCATTGCCTACGCACATCGTCTGTGAAACAGAAAAACACTACAGAAACAAAAACAAAAATTTCGTAATAAATTACTAAAAACAATTTGCGAAGTGTAGTGGTATTTTTAATAAATTTTTGCTTCGTATTTTTATGTTGTGCATTTTATGTTGTAGCTATACCCCGCGTTTTAAGAGAACTTTTTGAAGTGCTTTAAAGTAATAAAACTGGTCTGAACTGAGTACTTTATGCCCCGCCCATAGCTGGTAATTCTAACCCGAGTAAAAAAAAAATGACATCAAATAACCCAAAACAATTATGCGCTTTATAAAAACAAGATTGTTTACTACCTTGCTCAACATGCATTTTAGTGTGTATGCCATGTATAGCGTTTTTTTTATACGTGTTTAAAATGACTCACAGCTTCGGCCGTCTACGAAAAGGTATCCCCGCCAAGATCTAATTCCTGTCTTTCCCAATGGATGGATCCCCGTGTTGGAATCATCTGAGCTCGGAAAGGAGGATGTCAAACGAATAGACCTTCTCGGTGAGTGATCCTCGATTTTTAAAGTTCCTGACGCTAGTGAACGCCATCTAAAATATCCAAGGCTTGCCAACAGCTTCCTCTTCCACCATGGAACGTCATCTCAGTCGGATGACCACAACTCGGCGATTGGACCCAAACCCGATACCGAGTGTCCTTCGACGCGTTGATTGGACACGAGGCCTAGCCAAGCGCTGACGCAGCGGTCGTGTCCAATCAGTGTCTTCGCTCGATCTCACTGTGATGACGTCACAATTCTAGTACACACGCACTGGTTATCGGAGGTGGTGGTGTGCTAGTTCAGGTCAAAACTGTCTTTGAAACTGCACTCGCAAAACTGCCACCGCCGGGATTAAATATATATATTTAAGGTCCGTCTTGAGGACGAGGGGTTTTTCGATTATTTATTTATTTACGAATGTTTTGGTGGTCTAATCCGCATTTCTTATTTCTTCATAAGCCTAATTCAAAAATCATCAGTAGGACCACATTATAGCGGTTGTCGGTATCTACACTTACATAAACTGCGTACACAGGGCAAGATATCATAAACACTTTAAGAAACAGCTTTAAATAAAAATTTTCATGATATTGTTTGTTAGTCATTTCTATGTTTTTACTCAGCTAAAAGAACCCACGCGATCGCTCACTTTGGCAACTTCGGCGCTATAGAAGCAAACACTTTAACTACCCATTCTTTACCCCATTGTGTCCATTTGTGTGTTTTGGTCGTAAAAATTATTGCTTATAAATACGCCAACTGAGTACAATTAAACAGTTTACAGAAATAGTTTCGTGCGGTTGCATACCATATATCGTACTCATTCAGTGGGAGTACGTTTCCTTACCAAAATCCAAGAAAAGAAGAAAAAAGTCATATTCCTGTGCACACGAAAATGCATAGCATCATTCACAATAAACACTTACGTAAACAAAGGTAATAACCGCGCAGACAAAAAATGGAACCACTTGCTGTGTACCAATAGGTGTGAATAGGCCCCGAGTAAACAGAGTCGAAACATTTCGCAGGCGGCGACAAATATTGGCACGACTTTCCATTGGGCGGCCATCCGTGGCAATCAGTCGTATTTTGTCGGGAAGGGCAATGGCCTGGACGTGTGTAAGGATATGCCAGTTCATTCATCAGAACCGCACCTAACCGTTATTCAACATCTGTCTCCATAAGAAAAAATGATACGCACCGCGAAGGGAAATGGCTGGGCCTCAGTGTTGCGGCATGGACATCTCCATCGCATTGCAACACCATTCCGCGGAATTAAAGTTTCCGACAATGCCATTCCTTTCCACTCCTTGCAAAAGAGGCTGGGCCAGTTCCCACTTCTGGAATGAGTGAACTCACTGTTACATTCCTATCATTCGGATGCGTGAAAGAATAGGCCGTTGACAGCCATATTTATTACTAGAAAAAAGGAGCATAAAGCTGCCGACGTTTTCACACACGGAGACGACTGCAACAGATTGCTAAGGCTTCTTCAAAGCACTCATTCTACTTAGCCGAAAGGTGGTCGCACAAGGCGTTTCGTGGCATTTGGTGCGACACCTCCTAGATAACAAAGCCGGAGCGCTGATTGAGATGGCTTAATCAGAGAAATCAAAAGCTGGAAACCGATTGTAAACGGGTGCTGCGACAGCGCTCTGCTTCGAGTGAAGTTTGAGCCGAACTTCGAAGAAATCGTCATGTCCAATCTGCGCCCAGCGCCTGTTTTCGCTGATGACACCATCTCATTCAGCACTAAAGCTTTGTTATCTTGTGTTGATTGGGGTCACTGAAGACATCGATTGTGCGATCAAACGTGAGAGGCTTTCGAGTTGCAACAGATGTCAAATATGAAAATCACCATTTTCTTCGCCAACTGTCTGTACACTTACCACAGATTCATCAGAAGCCGTGCTGCAAAAATGAGGACAGGGAAACAAATATATCAGAATTTTGTTTTGTGAACTGTATTTCTAACGCGAACATCGTTGTATAAACGTTACGCGCTTATTCAGACGCGTGGAAAACAGTACCAAAGTACAGTACCCACATGTGAAGGCAATCAGCCAGCACGCACAGTGACACAGTGACGGTTGCAGGCACCGTACTCGCAAATTACCCACAAAAACAAATAAGACGTTAGCTGTTTAGGCAGCAGGAGTTAAGTCTGTCAGAGTGTTGCGACATTGTTACTGACTGTAAATGGGTAGCCAAAAGAGTACGACTGCTAGCCTGGTTGCAGTAACCGGCATCACGCAGTAGTGATACACGACAGCACGCCGGTATACGATTGTGAAGAAAGGACTCGAACCACTCCGTACTTCTCGCATCCATTTATATCTCGGAATGACAGATTCCCCAGGTGTGCTGGCCCACCAGGTCGTGCTCTGGCTGGCGGTTTAAAGCAAGACCGATGACACTCCCGGGCTGCTAGTGGGAGCGGTGATCACGTTGTTTGGAAAACCTCAGTTCTCGTCTGCATGTGATTCACTGACACCGGTGAAGCTTGGTCTTGGCTGGTTCTGAGGGAAGCTCCATACGTCGCAGAGGGTGGAGATGTGGCGTCCGCTGCAAGTACAGCATATCAATCGCGTCGACGTACTGCAATTGTGGGCTGCGTGATTGACCTTGCCGTATCTGAAACAACACCTTGCAGCTCTCAGTCGGTTTCGTTTCGTGTCGGAAGATATGTTGGTATTGCAGTCCTGCAATTGGTTTCCGATGCTAGTACAAAGTGGGCATAACCCGGGCTCCGGTGCGACCGATGCAGTCGGGAGGGCAAGAACCTACGGAAGACTGTGCTGGGCGATTGAAGGGCTTGTTCCCCTTCGGTCCTCTTGCGGTGGGTCAGATAAAGACCACTGATATCCCCCTTGACTCTCCTCGCGGCTCTCTATTTGGATCCGAAAAAACCTGAAGATAGCTGCAACTTCGTCTGTACCTCGAACGCCGGTAGAGATATGCATATCACCTGCTTCGGACGGGGACTCCTTTTTTTGTGTTGTGTCTAATCAGAACAGCAAGGTCGTTGGAAAGCGATGTTATGAGGACACGCTTGAGGACAATCGAGTATTGTGTAGGTGGAACACCCAAACCTTCAAGGCAGCTTGCGCGGAGCTCTACTGAATCCTATAAATATCGCAACTCCGCGATGTTGTCGGAGCTGTTAACAGGTGACAACGCAAGTAATGGATTGATGTATTCGTCTACATGAATGCAGCTCCGTCCAAATCGTTCGAGCAGAGCTTTTATGGAGAGGTCGTGCCCTCCGTCTGAGAGCCTCACCCACTCGATTGCTTGTTTTGCCGGCCCGGCTAAACACGTTTGGAAATACTTGAATTTCTCGATGCGTTTGCGGTCGACGTTGTCGTGAATCGTCGCTCGGAAGTGGTCCCAAAAGTATTGCCATTCCCGCAGGTTCCCCGAAAAGGAGGGTATCTGTAAATTTGGGAGGGCCACGGAACGTGGTGTTTAGCGAGCAGGTGCGTGGGCCGGACCTTCTGTTATTGCAGAAATTTGAAACCGAGGGCTGTACCGTTTTCAGATATTTGAAATGAATTACTGGCATTGCGATTTTGAGCTAGATCACAACGAACTCGGGTAATCTACATGCATATGTAGAAGCTACATGATAATCTCGCATGATTACAACAGGCGCGTTGTCGCGTCTCGCGGCGCCAGGGACGGCAACTTGTCCGCCTACAACTATTCGGTTTTGGTTGCTTCACTGAAGGCACACCATTTTCATGCTCGAAGGAGGGTAAGCCAGTGAGACAACCAAGCCGTCAGTCACTTCCAGTGCAATGATGCTGTTTCGAGAGCCATGGACTTATCATGTGCTAGCGAATTGCGGTATGAGCCCGTAGGCACTATATGAAAATCGACACATCTCGCATAAGAACCGCGCTCATTCCATTACCAGTCCATTCGGGGCAAAAAGCATCTGATTCCATTCCCATTATACCCCCAACGCTGCCACCATTTCATACCCATACCCAATGCATTCTAGGGTCGCGAATGTGCAGTAAGATTTTGGAATCATTCCAACTCCGGAGTAACCACTCCGCGACCTTGCATAAGAAAAAAATGAAATCTAAAGTCAGCGATGCTAATCTAGGCTATTTTAACAGACGGTTTTCAAAGTAGACGACTCCATTTAAAAGAAGAAAAAAATTAGCCTTTTTGGGTACCCGGGTGCGCCTAGACAGATAACAAAAGATGTAAATAAAATCTGCATGTTTTCTTTAGTAATACATTACTTTGCATTACTTTAATAAATAGCATAGTCATTTGCTCCCTATTGCTTTTTTTTTATATATTTCTTACACTTGAATTGAGGCGATGTGTAAGATTGCGCCTTGATCCCAGGCTTGGAGCTGGTGGCATTCCGGACCAGAGATGGCGTTGCCTGCGTAGCTGACGCCTACTGCCCGCACCTGGGCGCCCACCTTGGCTCGGTGGGCCGCGTGGTGGGAGACTGCATCGAGTGCCCATTCCACGGCTGGAGGTTTAGCGGCACGACAGGAGCTTGCACTCACGCACCTTTCGCGCCTAAAGGTGAGCTGAATGGAACAAATACACCATGCAAGTTTATGGTAATATGCCACAAACCTGCTGTGCACAGTTTCAAATGACAAAGGCAAATTTAGGAGTCTTAACCTGCCGAACAAACGAAGGGCATGTCGTATGCGAAACGGCTGATTAAATTTGACCAGTGTTGTACACGTTCCTCATAAGAGGAACGAAAAATCGTTCCTCGTGCCTTCTGACTTCGGAACGCGTTCCCGTTACAAGTTATAATTATAAAAAAGGAACTCGTTCCCGTTACAGTTAAAAAAATGAAACGTATCGTAACATATACGTTTCATTTGCATTTGGCTCATCACCATACTTAGTTAGATCAGGGAACGTTTTTTTTTTGTTGTTGTTGTTGTTGTTTGTTTTTTTTTTACATCCAATAGGAACATACGAATTTGAACGCCGTGATGGAAAGGCACCAGAAGAAGAAAACAAGGGGAATCAGGGTTTCATTTGCTGATATATTCACGTTTAAAAATCTCATCTTTTAGCCATATTCATGTTTGTGGTGGGCGATCCAGAGCGGCCAAAGATACTGTTACACCACATTGCACGAGCGTTTTACAACAACCTGACTCGTTTCAATCTAACAAAGTCCCTTGTTCAAACTTAACAACAGCTACTTCGCGATGATGTTGTCCGGAAGACGAGCAAGTGAAGAAGACAATCAGTAATAAAAATTACAAGTCCTTCTTCGTAAAGGTTGGATTCGTTGTTCAGTTTGATGGTGAGGGACAAGGGGACAAGTAATAAAGGTTAACTTTTGTCTATCTTTCAATTGACCGATGCTCGGGATACAAGGGTGGGTCCGATGTCTTGTGACCTTTTCTTGTGTTGTAACTCTAGGTTCCTTTGGGGAAGTTCAGTGATGGCTGTAATCGGTCTTAGATTTCCGGGTTTATGAGGATTCGTGAAAGCAAAGAAAGCAGCTGAGTTTAAAACGTCCCTCTTTCTGCGTCTTTCCTTGGACTAAAAGTTTTGTTTTTTGTACCGCAGTCTCAGGTACCGAAAACATAATCTATGTCCATAGCTCCTGCACACCACTGCTGAGCTACCAAGCGAGGACCACACAAAATAAACTCTACGATAAGTAACAAAAACGTTAGCGAGATCCCGCTCTTTGTAAAGATATTGTTTTCATACTTTCGGGATGTCCTTCTTAGAAATAAATTAAAAATCAGCCCACTGGACAAAAAGAAAGGAACACCGTTCCTTTTTTCGTTTCAGTCAAAATGTAACGAGTTCTCGTTCCAGTTACACCGATGTAAAATGGAACGGCGGCGTTCCTTCGTTCCTTCTAAAAGGAACGCGTTCCAGGAGCGCCGTTCCTTGGAACGCCGTTCCGTACAACACTGAGTTTGATCGACTAGATTTTTTTTTTTACGTCCAGCTACAATCTCGGTTACGCGGCGCCTTCTCTAAAATAAACCACCGTCAGATGGGGGGCAGCTCGGCTGAGATTCGGACCCGCCAACTGGGGATATATATACTGGCTCGTGGGCTCGTCCGAGGTGTAAATTTTGAAGATCCATCGTTCAGCGTAATTATAATGAAGTAAGAATTATTCCCCGAAATTTGAATAATGTACAATAATGATACAAACTGAAAGAGGTTTAGAATACTCTATGATGCCGAATTAGAGCGCAGCTCTTGATAAGGAAGAGGGGAAGGTACGGAGAGGAGGGGTATGCCCCAACTCATCCGTACCCTCCCCCTCCTCCCCTCCCCGTAAACTTCAGCGGGAAAAATTCGCAGCTAAATATCGCGGAAGAAACTTTCCGCCAAATTTAGTGGGGAATTATTTTCGCTAAATTTAGTAGGGATATTTTTCCGCTATACTTAGCGGGTAAATTTTTTTCGCTAAATTTAGCGGGGAATTTTTTCCGCTAAATTTTACGGGGAAGTTTTCCCCCCAAGTTTAGTGGAGAAACTTTTCCGCTAAAATTAGCGGGACAATTTTTTCCGCTAAATATTGCGGAGAATTTTTTATCTATTTTGAGCGGGGAATTTCTTCCAGTAAATTTAGTGGTGAATCTTTTCCGCAAAATTTAGCGGAAAACTTTGTCCGCTAAATTTAGCGGTGAATTTGTTCGCTATATTTAACGAAAAATATTTCCGCGAAATTCAATGGGGAAATTTTCCCGCTAGATTTAGGGGGCAATTTTCTCCGCTATAGGGGAACATTTTCCCGCTAAATTTGCGGGAACGTTTTGCGCTAAATTTGGCGGGCAAATTTTTCAGCTAAGTTTAGCGGGAAAATTTTTACGCTAAATTCAGAGAGCAATTTTTTAGTCCAAGTTAGCGGGGAAATTTGTCCCCTATATTAAGCTGGAAATTTTCCCGCTAAACCAAGCGAGGAAGCTTTTTCGTTAAACTGAACGGTAATTTTTTCCGCTAAAGCGGTTAAATTTATCCGTGACCTATTTCTGCCGCCGTACGAGGCGTTTTGCTGACCGGAAGTGACATTCTTGCGCAGAGCGATGCTGCCTACGTCACGAGTACGCGTTCTTCCGTGAGCAGCAAAGCCGGGGAGCAAGAAGGTTACAAGTACTAGGAGGGGGCACGTCGCGATATTGGTTAAGCCTAGTCATAAAAAGTTTAAACGATGTTGTGGCCAACGGAACCGTATATCTCTCTGGCAATTGGTGCGCGTGACATGTCGCTTGTGAGACGGATGGCTGATTTCAGAAGGATTCCTTGCAGGCTTGCGCGCGCTCCATCTGGTAAGTTTTATCAGATCGAAAGCTAGACGAAGGCTAGGTACGGTCTCGTGATGTGGTCACGTTGGCCTGATAAGTGAGAAGAGTAAGGACGAAAATGAGAAAGAGGCGAGGCGTCAAGGGAGCATGGCTTGTGGAGGCTACGCGGCTGACGTCATGCCCTCTCCTGCCCTTCTATCCTCCTTGCCGGGGAGAGACAGCCGAGGTGGGAACTCGCCCGCCTTTTCGTCATATTTGACGGGATGTTACGAGAACAGGTTCTGTAGCCGGCGCCGCCGCCGCCGCTCGAAGGAAATAGATGTAAACACAACCCGCTCGTCGCCGTTGCCGCCGGGAGCGAATTCGCTCCCGCAGCAGCGGATTTCTTCTCAGGTGTAAACGTACCATAAAACAGTGGTCTCACGCTGAATTGGTGCATTGCATGTCAGGGCTTCAGTTTTGCGTAGGGCAAGTTTGCCACTTCCCTACTGTTCAGAGCTTATTTCTTTAATTATTCTTTTTGTTTGTTTTAAGGGCCTTTCCGGGCATTACATAGGTGTGAATTCCCAAAAGTGAACGGAGGACAAAGAGAGGAAAAATTAAAAAAAAGAAAGAAAGCCAGAAAGAACCGCTTGGCCGACATATGCTAAAAAATTTAATCGATCTACATCAGCAGTGATAATACACAACATAAGATGATGCAAAAGCTATGTTCATTCAATATCACACACACATTTCACTGACCGTTCTGATGAATACTAGCGGTGTATCGCGCGCTTAAAAAACTTGCCCGGTGATCTCACGTTGCCAAATTACACATTTCGCACTGAAGTTTAATTCTTGTCATTTTTTTCGTGCAACATCATATTCATTGGGGCGAGTTCGATAGCTAAGGGAAACCTAAACTCCTCTCCGCGTTATCCAGTGGTGAAATAAGGCTTTCTATACTTTGTTTCAACGCAAAGCCTCGCTCACACTTGCGGATAATTATCTTGCCGCTGGTCGAACTAACTCGGCGGAAAACGACCGCGCCGCTCACATTTGTAGCCGCCCGCCGCGTCCGCGGGGCTCCGGTTTCTCACGGGTACACCCTCTGATCTCTATGTCTATTTGCTGGATCACGTTTGACCAGCTCCGCCTATAGACGGAAATGCGACCACGGTCGGATATCTTTTTTGGTAGAGTTATATTATCTCTAGCCATCATAGTAATAAGGCGGACAGCGCAATGGCGGCAGGCTCCCATAAAATAGCCGTGGATCTAGTACACTGTATACCGTGGATGTTATTTCGTGCTTGACTGAAGGCGTTCAACTAAACAGATTCTTGAAACCCGTGGTGAACGGTAGCTCGATCTTTGAGGACCCGGCGAAAGTTCTACGAAAGCGCAGCACCGGGGACAAGCAGCGCAGGTCGCATCGAAAGCAGACGCCGTATACCGGTGTCTGCTTTCGATGCTTCTTTTGATGCGACTTTCGATGCGTGCTGTGCTCCGTTTCCCTGTGGCTGCGATTTCGTGAAACTTTCACCGGGTCCTCAAAGATCGGGCTACCGTTCACGCCGAGCTTTAAAAATATGTTTCGTCAAACAATTTCAACCAAGCACGCAATATCACTCACGCTATTTTGATGGCAGCATGCCACCACAACTGCCACAACACTCCCAAGCAGCACCAGAAAGTGAATTTCGATCGGCCGACGGTTGGCCAGTGTCTGGACAGCTTGGCCACTTTAAGTGCTTGGCCACCGGAGACACAAACAAGGCCGGCAAGAGTCCGGCCACAAACTAGTTGTTTTTAGCTTGTCCGCCGGAGACATAAACACTGCCGGCAAGCGCGCGGCCAGAAGTGCTGATTTTCAGCTTGGCCGCCGGAGACATAAACACGGCCGGCAAGTGTTTGGCCAGCAGTGCTGATTTTCATCGCGGCCGCCGGGGACATAAACACGCTCGGCAAGTGTTTGGCCTGAAGTGCTGATTTTCAGTTTGGCCGCCGGAGACATAAACACGGCCGGCAAGTGTTTGGCCAGCAGTGCTGATTTTCATCGCGGCCGCCGGGAACATAAACACGGTCGGCAAGTGTTTGGCCTGAAGTGCTGATTTTCAGCTTGGCCGCCGGAGACATAAACACGGCCGGCAAGTGTTTGGCCAGTAGTGCTGATTTTCAGCTTGGCCACCGGAAACATAAACATGGCCGGCGAGAGTTTGGCCAGCAGTGCTGATTTTCAGCTTGGCCGCCGGAGACATAAACACGGCCGGCAAGCGCCTGGCCAGAAGTGCTGAT